GTAAGATTTGTCAGTATTATTGTAATTACGACGCCCATATCGTTTGGACTTGAACTGTGTTGAGTCATGTGTACTCTGGGTGAAAGCATGTATTGCTGAAGGGTTTGTGTCGTAATCTACTTGTCCTATGGCGAGGATTTTAACCTCGTGTAACATGTGCTGACTGAGTGTGACTAATGTCCATTCCCCGCTTGGGTTGGATCGCGCTAAACTTTGTTGAAATTGAATTGGGAATGTATCCAGTATCATGGGTATGAGGAGTTTCTCATAGCCCGCCTCTGGTACACCTAATAAACGAAGTGCCCTGATGTGCTTTTCCAGGGTATCATGATATTTCCGTAAAGAATTGGCATCATAATTGGGTGCGTCTGCTGTGCGTAATGCACGCATGTGAGCAGCGATAATTTGATGAGGCTGGCCGAATCGTTCGGTCAGAAGCTGGAGTGCCAAACTGTAATTTACTATTGTAAGATCTAAGCCGGTTATTACTTCTAGAGCCTCCCCCTCTAACGACCTTTTCAAATAAGCAAATTTGATTATAGGACTAAGTTGTGGATTTAAACCTACAGCAGCATTGAACATATCCCAAAATTCAGCCCACCCCGTATACTCGCCTGAATAGACGGGCAAATCAATACGTGGCAATTGAACAGAATTAAATTGAGTGTATTGTGGATTCATACCTGAATATGAGCTGTTGGAATTGAATTGTTCAAAAAGTTATTTTGTGTAACTTCTACTTGAGGCACTGGTGCATTAGCGGGTTGATCGAACTGTTGTACAGGTGGTTGAAACGCGACTTGAAACGTCGGTACTGGGGGCGCGACTTGAGGTGTCGACGGCGGCGCGACTTGAGGTGTCGGCGGCGGTACGACTTGAGGTGTCGGCGGCGGTACGACTTGAGGTGTCGGCGGCAGTACGAACTGTTGGACCGGTGCTTGTTGATCATCTGGAGGGATTGGTTGTTGATTTACTTCGTGTTGACCAAGTTGTGGGACTGGATGTATTTCTTGCTTCGCTGGCTTGTTTTCTGTCAGGAATAAATTGATCGAACTAAACCTCTCTAGTAATTTGAGTTCGTTTTCTTCAGTTTCCGTAAACTCTGCGTCCAGAACATCGGCGTAATTTCTGACTTCATCGCAGGCCCTTTGTAAAGTTGAGATACGATTGTCAAGTGCTAGTATGCTTACTTTGATCAGCCGATATACTTCAGATTTGTTGTCAGTGACTTCAAAGTATTGGATTCTATCCTCAGCAAGTGTCAACGCGATATTTAATTGAGTCACAACTTTGTTCAGTCTATCTATTGCTTTGTTCAGGATTCTTCAAGGCATGATGAATCAGTATTGGATATCCTGGTCTCGGCACCAAATTTATGTGGTGGATAAGTTTATATCGCAAAACTAGGCGTTGGGGTGTTCTTTTCGTCACATAAAACGAACTGACTAATCATGCGGAATTGTTATTGAAACGGACATCGATTGCGTTGTGTTTTCTTGAGTTGAACAGACGTGAGGTATAATTCAAACTGGTTTATTTGTACTCAACAAGAACATCAATACGTTGTACAGCAAATACTTCTTGGTATAAAATATAGATCGCTAAATAATAGCTCCATGAGGAGTTGGCATCGTAGAGAGCATAGAAAGGAGGGTGTGCATAACGAGCATCAAGTTGCGAAGTTACCATAGGAGGAATTACAGCGACGGCCTGAATCGGACTTCTCACGACAGCGCTTTGCCTGGTTAATGTAATTGTCAACGTTAAAGCGGCATTTGTCTCGGTGACAGCTAATCGGAGAAGTGCCAAACACGTGTTTGTACTCTAGAATATATCATGCCAAAAACGTTCCGAAAATAAAACAACGCTAATGATTGGCGCATACAAACGAAACATAGCGCTGTCATTCCATATTAGGAGTGACACGCGACTAACACGAGGCAGAACTTTGGTGGGAATTTTGGGCGGTAAACAGACAAGTACCACTAGAACGCAATGGGAAACAATGTAGCGAACGTTTGGATATAGCGTCACGGTTGCTACAGAAACCGATCTAGTCTCTCAGTACTCAACTCGTGGTTATCAAAACAATGTCGGAATTACAAACTAGCTTAGAGAACATCATACAGAAAGTAAAATTTTTTCATGTTAGATAACTG